GATGTTTAAAGCCTCATTAGTGTTTGACAATATCTCAGGACGCAAGACAGTCGTGAAAAAGGCAGGAGAGTAAGAACTTTGTACTTATCCCAAACTAAGCGGTTTTCCAGGATTTGCCATTTGCTTTTTGTCTGGGGACTGTTCGTGAAAAGACGAATGCCCCTTCAGAGTCTAGCAAGGCCTCCTGAGAAGTTGGTCGCAGGAGCTCCTGGCCTGCTAGCACAGGAGTCCTTGCTGTAAAATGGTACTAACAAAACGAGGGGCAAGATGTCCCTCTGTGACAAATCGGTACCCAGGCACAGAAAAGTAGACCATCCCCAGGGTCAGCAGGAGGTGCTAGTGGGGCAGCTTCACTGGCATTAGTGTTTTTCTTCATTATCTGCTTTCTGAATAGCAATTATTGCCTTGGATTTGTGGCAGCGTGGAATGCCTTGCTTGAATTCAAGGGGCTTACCCAATGATTTTGTCCAAACCAAATTATTTGTAGCTATGGCTCAGCAAAAGTATCTTCATGAGCAACAAGCTGTGCAGATACAAGCTTGGCTTTGTTGACTAAATTTAAAGCTACAGAACTATATGAAGAGTAGGTCAAATCTCTGAGGTTTTTTTAGTTTGATGTCTTCTTGCGTGGGAAGAAGAGATTAGTGAGTTTTTCCCTAAGCTGTCCTCAGTTATTGTCAACAGTATTTTGATTTAAAGCAGGTAACTTTCTCTATTTCCTAATCCTCTTTTATTTTCCCACAGATTCTGTTACTCTTTGCAACAGTGTTGCGAGCTTCGTTCAAAATGTTAATAAAGGCATCTCCCCTTTCCTAGCAATAGGTTGCATTGAAAGTCAAAGGCACATTTTAGATGGCATGTGTATCACAGTTCAGGCTTGTTATACATATTTGGCAGATCTACCAAATGTTTCTTAAGAAGAGGGTGGGGTATAGAGACTGCGAGCATGTATTCACCCCATAGCCCAGCAGGCTGGGAAAGGTCAACGAAAAGTGCGTGCTCAGTTGTGTTTAAGGAGCCAAGCTAAAAAGAGTTTTGAAAGACTGTAGCCCTGTGAGAATGGAAGGGAGCAGGTGGAGAGGTACAAATAGCCAGAGAGAAGGGAGATCTGCCAAGCAAAAAGGGAGCTTAACATCCTTGTGCTGGAAACCAGCAGAGTTGGGAACACGTCTGGGCTTCCTCCCTGCTACCAGGAGAAGGCAAAGAATTGGCCTGGGGAGGCGCAAGGGTCCTAGACTCCTGGGCCCTAGAGCAGCTATATACATCCTGGACTTTGCAGCACAAATAGCACTTTGTTATTCCATGTCATGCAGGTGGATGAGAGGAGTACTGTTAGGAAAATCTTGACCACAGCCAGGACACCACCGATGGCAACCACCCCCCTAGAGAGAAAACCCAAAACCAGTCTAATATTTTTGAATGGATCATGTGGAGAGACTCCAAACAGTAAGTTTAACATCCAGAGAGAATGTGGGATGGGCATGTTTTTTTGCAAAGGCACCTGCAAAGTGAATAGGAAGCAATGCAAGTTTCTGTATGTGACCTTAAACTGGTTTATGCCCAGTACCCATTCCAGCCTCAGGCTGTCTGCTCTGCTTACCACCCAGGTGCAGCATTTAGCATTTGTACACCAAACTACTTCATAAATAGGAGTAGATTGCATTTCCCGTAAGAGTAATGAAATTGTCTAATTTGTCAGAAGTTTGTTGTCAGCAGGATGAGCAGGTCAGCTTAAAAGGTAGATCTTTGGTTACAATTTTTCTGGCTTTGCCAAGCTGTGAGCGAGACAGTTTATTATCTGCTTTTCAGTATCTTGTGCCTCTGGCTGCTAGGCTGTTACATCCACATAGGAATGTCAACAAGAACTTGTTTCTCACATGTAGCTTCACTAGTTTCACAGCCAGGACATTGTATTAAACAGATACCAGCCCAGTCTAGCACCATCATTTTTATGCAGCAAGGCAACTTTCCTCACTAATGAGAAATCACCTCTGTAAACTAGCAGAAAATACTAATTGGCTCCTCCAGTAGTACTGAAAGCCAGAGTTTGTTCTTTCACCACACAAATAACATTTAATTTACATAGCATAGGCCCTGCTGGGCAAGGAGTGATGTGAATTGCATAATAATTTAGAGGTTATAGCAAAAGTGCAGCACAAGTCTTTGTAGAAACCTTGCTTGATCATTTGGCTGAAGACTATATGCATTGTCTGTGGGATGAAAGTGCAGGGTGTTTAATTAAAAACAGAAGTTCTCAATTTGAGAGACTTCTCAGAGTTAGTCTGTTTGAAACAGGTTCATCAGAGCATTAGAGAATCTATTCTAGTGTAGGCTAAGTGGCTTTCTAGTGAATATCTTAATCTAATACCGCAGATAATCTTCTCAGACAAGTCTCCAACGTATGTTGTAAACACACTCAAATGGCAGTGACTGTGGGACGCGTACTTATTAAGTAAGTTGACAGTATCTCACAGTTTGAAGGGCTCCCATTAATGGGAAAAAGAATTGTAAACAGCTTGGAATAGCATGTTTTGCTTGGACTGCAGTGATACCTGAAGATCAACTTCTATTTCAACTGTATCTCTCTATATTAGGTATATTGGTCACTTACTTAAATTTATTGTTAGAAAAGCTAAGCGCAAAAAATGCAGTTAAGGTACCAAGTCATTAGTTCCAGTACAATGTTACCTGTGCAGTTAAAGCTATAAGTTTCTGACTGAAACCCACACAAATGTTTTGTGTACTCCGCAGTGGTGCACATGGGCAGAAGGTAGGAGCTTTCTGTTTATACCCAGTAAGCAGTCATAACTAGACAGTAGAAATATTTGTTACAGTGAAGCAATAGCCCCTGCAATGAAATGAGCTTCATATTTGTTATGCCCTGGGTTGAAAAACAATGTCCTATTTTCCTTTTAAGTTCATGTAGTAAGTAACTTAAGTCCCATATTCGTTTCCAGTTGAGGACTAGTGTGTGTACATGGGCATGTGTTTAGGACCACTGAAGCAGCATCACCCACCTGCTGCATTATCAGCTCCACCCTCTCCCTTCTGAGTCAGTTGGCAGAAAAGATAACACATTCCTCCCAGACCTGCAATACTTCTCACACAGAAGTAGTTACAGAGGTACTTTTCATCTTGGACAGGCAGTTAACAAAAAGCTTACAGTCTCAAGTTTAGCTCCCACCCACATTTCCTACTTTGTTGTTTTCTGTAAAAGGTCTCTTGAAGGTAATTAAATTTATTCACCTGGATCTTTATGTTGCTCGAGATGACAAGAGAGCAAAGCTAGTATCTGCAAAGGTAACTGACCCACAAAACAAGTTGCTCTGTCATGTAGCAACAGCTCTGAGGGGCTTGTTTTACGGGAGAACCCAAACTCCAACTCACCAATACAGTTGTTCATTTGCCTTAGTCTCTCTTCCTCTTCACCCTCCCTGCAACACCTCCTCAAGATCTTCTTGAGCAATCTTGTGGCTCTGCCTGCATGAGCAGGCAGCCCAGCCCACTCTCAATGGATTTGTTTCATGAAACAGCTGGTACTGAAGTCCCAGTACCAACATTTCAGACACTTGTTCTTCACAGCAGCTCTAGTATTGTCCCACCAACTGGATGTCCATTAACCATTAGCTGCAGGAGGTAAGCCTCTGAAGCTCATCCTCCACTCGTACCACCAAAATCTATTCTATTTTGCATATTCAGGCTGCCCCACCATGCAAAGCAGGAAAGAATTAGCAGGGGCAATTAGATCAGCAGTGTGCTTTTGAAATAAATATTCTAAACCAAAGTTCTAATCTACACACTTCTAGAACTCCTATAAAACTACCCTTTTCAGACCAGATGCACTGGGGGAATTACTTCCTTAGGAAAGTGATATTTGCAAGCTAGATCCAGGTTCCTCATTACAGAGCCAAGAGCTTGCTGAAGTGTCATCATGTTTTTGGAACCCAAAATCCAAAAAGCAGGTAAGCAGAGCAGCTTTCTGCTTCTGTCATATTAAAAAAAAAAAAATCAACTAGTTGGATTTGCAAGTATTGTACTTTATTCGGCTTCCTACAAGGCCATAATTCAAAATAAATTTATGTTGAAAAGCCTAGTGTAGAAAAAAACATACGAGTTTAAGCTAAGTAGTCACTAGCAATACTGTGGTATTGTTGCTAGGTAGGCAGCATACGCCACCTAACTATTTCAGAAAGAATCCTATTCCCTAGCCATCACAGCAGTCCAGGTTTTTTTGAAGCCTGCTCCCACCCTGACAGAGTAATTCATTAAGCCCAGACAGTCCTTTCTGACCTTTGCTCTCCTCTCAGCAGGATGATCTGACTAAAAGGGACCATCTGCCAAGCCTGCATTTCAGCTGAGGTGCTTCCTGGAGAGTAGGGTATAGAGAATCAAGTACTTGAGGGGGTAAACTTTTTTTGTTTTTGCTTCGAAGAGGGCCAGTCACTTCTCAGGAATTCTTTAGCCTTAAAATTTCAGGTTAAATACATCACTTACATCAAAAAGTTATGAAAATGAGCCAGTTCAGTGGTCAAGTTTTAATGGACTGTCAGTCTGAAAGTGTTTATTGTTTACTTAATACATTACATAAAGTTAAAACACTTAAGTTTCTATTACAGTGTAGGTAACCACACTTTCTAGTATGCTTCAAAAGCCCTAAGCAGTCGGTACAAAGATGCATCCCACAGCCCCGCTCAAAGCAATACAAACTCAAGTCCAGGGTACAGATTCACCTGGACAGGCAGCTGCTTGGAACGCTGCTCATGCCTTCATAGCCTACCTTGCACATCTTCAGAATGCATTTCAAGTTGATTTTTCAGGTTGCCAAACGATTTCCTAAAGGGGATGGCAGAGATCTGCTGCTCAGGCAGTTTAACCAGGTCTGATAGAAGATTTACAGAGCTCTGCACTTGAGAAGGTCTCCTACTGACGGAGTAAAGTATAGGGGCTCCGTGATTAATCTAAGCAGGTTTGCCATTAGATAAGCAGCTTCCAAAATCCCATTAATGGTATCCCCACCACTGATGAACAATTAGATCTTCATGTTCAGTCACTAGGGTCCTATTACCGCATTCTTCCCAACGTCTGACCTTCCCATTCTCCACCAAGATAAATTTCCATTCTACTTGGGTGTCTACTGGCAGAGTAACAGATTCACACCAGAATCCATCCTTGTCGTACTTGAGGGGAACGTAGCTGTGCCACTGCCCGAGACACTCGTGGTCACCAGTAACACCAATCAGCTGAGCGTCAGAGTGGGTGATGTAGTGGACGCGGAAAGTCACATGGGTGTTTTGAAACATGGGGGGCACAGCTGCAACTCTCTTTGCTTTCAAGTCTCCATCAGGGCAGTCTCCTTGTTCCCATTCCTTGCTGTCGGAGTCTTCCAGGCTGCCATTCTTGCCAGCCTCCCCCCAAGCCAGGTGCTCAGAAACGACTTCCCATTCCTCATGGTCCAAGTCTCTACTCTCAGCTGGCTGACCCGGCTGCTCCTCAATTCTGTCCTTACAAATATCTGCAGAGGCTCCTGTCACTTCCATCATGCACCATCCGTCGCTTGCCTCACCCATCTGGGGTCTCAATTCGCCCGCCTGGCTGCCATGCGTGTCAGCTGGATGCTCCCTGGAGTCCGTGGCACCCTGCTGGGGGAGCCGCTGCCCCATCTCCAGAGCTTTGCCTGCAACTCCACCACTCTGAACATGGTTAAGCTCTTTCCTTGGTACAACCTCTGGATCCTCCCCTGGCTTCCGCGGGCTGGACAGGGCAGCACCCTTGGCTTCCTGCAGCACTTGCTCACCACTCCCCAGAAGATCCTCTAAAAAATGATATTTCATTAAAACAGGCATGGCTTAAACAGCGCAGTTAAGCTTCGTGGCAGCAAACCCAAGCCCTCGCTGGGGAGGCTTGGGCAGAGCGGAACGCATCGAGCACCAGCTCCCCCCGCAGCACCCCTGCC